ACCCCACACACACACACACACTCAACAACCAGGGTGCAGAGCGCCATGAGCGTGGTGCTCCGCGCCGAGCTGTCCTCCCAGCTCAAGACCCAGGTGCTGGCCTCGATCCAGTACCGTACGCGGTTCGAGTGGCAGCGCCATGACGCGCGCGTGGCCGTCGCGGCCGCCGCGCGCGCGGCGAGCCACTCCGGGGCCGGCGCGGCGGCGGCCTCCTCCCCCCGCGCCTGGTCCCAGGCCGGGGCGGGGCCGGGCGCTGCCGGCCCCCTCCGCCCCGCGCCCAGCCGCGGCCGGTCGGCCGACTACGCGCGCAGCGACTGGGAGGAGCGCCTGGCCCTGGCACGGCTGGTGGCCATCGAGGGCATCAAGGGCGCGTGCCGGCTGCCGGCCTGCGCGCGGCCCAGCGCGCGCGCGGCACGCTGGGCCTGGCGCGACGACAACCGCCGCGTGGCCGACCCCGTGGCCGAGCTGGAGCGGGAGGGGTGGGAGCGGCCCTGGTCCGACGCTGAGGTCCGGGCCTTCATGGACGGCTTCCTGGTGCACCACAAGGTGCGGTCGGGGGTGTGGCACCGTGGGAGATTCTGTACGGCGTGTGAGGGGGGGGAGGAGGGGAGGTGGGAGTGCCTCGGAGGCTTGTGCGCGCAGGGCAGGCCCGATGCTTGCTCGCGCGGAGGCCGCGCGGCGCCCCGGCCGCCCCGCGGCTCGCGTCCCTCGCTTTCCTCGGCGAAGGCCCCCCCCCCCTTCGCCCAATCCCATCCTCCTCCACAACCCCCCACCTGAAGGACTTTGCGCGCATCGCGGCGACGTGCCTGCCCGGGCGCCGCGTGACCGAGGTGGTGGCCCTCTACTACTCCCTCCAGCGCACCGACGTCTTCGCTGCCACGCGGCGCAAGTACCAGCTGCGCAAGCGGCGCGAGCAGACGGAGGTCAACCTGCGCGCGCGCGCCGCCACCTTCATGGGCATGGGCGTGGGGGGCGAGGGCGCCGCCAAGCGCGGCGCTGACCGCGCTGCGGGCGGTCCTGCGCCGGGCCTGGCGCGGACCGTCAGCCGCACTGAGGTGCGGAGGTTGGGGGGGGGGTTAGGGGAAGGGGAGAATCGGGAAGTCACTTGGGTGGGGAGGATCAGTGCTGGGGTCAGTGGCGAGCTTCAGAGTGCAAGGGGGTTGTCTGTCGTCGCCAGGGGCTCACCATGGCCGTGCAGCCGCGTCTGCGAGTCGTGGCCCTGGGCTCAGGGTTGTGCATGTGCGTGCTGACACCGCCATCTTCCCCAGCGCGCCCACTCCCCACTCTGCCATGGGCACGCACATCTGAGTTTCTGACGCCGCCACCGTGAGCCCGCTGCGCCGCCGCCCAGGCCCGCCACACGTCGCCCCTCACCCCCTCT